TCACTTATTACTTAGTTTTAATCTCATTATTTATAATTCACTTTTGTTCTTAACATTTTAGTCTATCACCTACTCTCGATGAAACAAACACCTTTCTTGCTCTTTTTATCGATCTGCTTCTCTCTCTCTCTCTCTCTCTCTCTCTCTCTCTCCTCTCTCTCTCTCTCTCTCTCTCTCTCTCTCTATCTCTATCTATCTATCTATCTATCTTTGTCGCTTCTCTTGTACACTCTTCATTTGTTAGGACTTTCTTTCTTAACATTTTATCCGTCCTCCTCTCACATAAACACTCATCTTTCTCGTCCACTTTATGTTTTTTTCTCTCTCTCCCCTGCCACTTCTTTCGAACTATCTTTATTTGTTAGACACTGTCTTTCTTAACATTTTATCTGTCCTCCTCTCACATAAACACACATCTCTCTCGTCCTCTATGTTACTATCTCACTCGCTTTCACTCTCTTTCTTTTTTCGCTGCATACATTTTTTAAATAAAACGATATTCATTCATTCTCCCTCTCACTATTATAGTAGGCCAGACTTTGTATTATTGTATTTTCTTAGTTCTTATTGTGCTTAAGTTGACACTATTCTTCTTTTTAGAACAAAAAGTTATTGATTTCAGCAGTTATTTTTCGTGAATCTTCTCCGTAATCTAGTAACCTAGTAGTATTTTATAGTTACATCCATTACACAATAGCCTGACATTCGAATGAGTGACAGTTACTTCCTCGTTATTGCGCAATGTTCAAATGGGTTCATGGTTATATCTATTTTGTGTAGATTTTTTCTCAGATGCCAGAAATGGAGCTCGATCAGTTCACTGAGTCAGTCGTATCAGTATGTTTCTGAGTGGTAGAGAGTTCTTTAAACATAGGTTTATCGCTAGAATCTGTCCACTTCTCCTCATGTTATGTTAAATATCGGCTTTTGGAGTTGACTTCGTTAAGGTTCTATAACGTTTCCTATAACTGCCAGTTTGTCGGTTTGCTCTTTAGCATAATCTCTCAAAAACGAGATACAGTTTAACATTTGTTCATCCACTTGTGAACAAAACAACACCACTTACTTTAATACATATACAACACATGAAACAAATATGTTTCATCGTCGCATATTGCCCATAAGATTTCAAATGGTATAGGATAGAATACTGAGGATATTAGGAAGTGGGGTTTGCTAATTCTTAGCACGGCAGTTTTGTGGAAATTCAAGCAATGATGAGAGATATAATTGGTTTATTTTACTTTTATAAAAAAGTTTGAGATTGGTGCAACGAATGAAAACTGTTTTCGACATTGTCCCGAAGACATTGACCGAAATTGGATCTGATCATCCCGGCTTAGCTAAAATGGATCAGCATATTTCGCAACTTGTGCAACAGTTCCTCACTAAAGATGGCGTAATGCCGAAACGTGTTTGAGTCATATCGAAACTGTTGACTGTTGACTGCTGCAAGAAAGTGAAAAGCCCATCTGAGGTTATGGTTAAAAGTTAAGCCCAGGAAATGCTCGGTAATATCCGCCGTAGAAAAAAGCATTAAGAAAGAAAATGTGAATAGTAGACGTGGTGGATATGATGGATACAGTACATTACGGTGTTTAATGACAGGAACATAAATTGTTATTGAAAACTGTCATAAAATTTACTGCCTACTGTAAAACGAACGACAGGAGCATAAATTGTTATTGAAAACTGTCATAAAATTTACTGCTTATTCTACAATAAGCCTTAATAAGTTAACTATATTTTTTGCAGGACAAAATTTTGTTCTGAAAAAAATATAAATATACCAAAATATTAGGAACATAGTGGTTAGGGGATTTTAAATAAGATTACACGTATTTGTCTCGCTAGCGGATCTGGGTTCGAATCCTCTCATAGCACATGACTTTTAAATGAACATGAATATAACAAAAAATATTGCAAAGTGTTGTGACTCCTCGTGTTTTATAGATGAACTATTTTTCTACCAATAATTGTTTTATCATTGTGAGATGCAACAACTTCGTTTAAATAGATTAACGTCTAATGTTTTAATAGGCTAAGATGGTTGGGCGTGTTCAAGGGTGAGAGAGAGAGAGAAGCATAATTAACGAAAACATCCAGATAAAATAGAACAGCTAAAAATTTCACACAAAAACAGGAACCATTGTTGACAAGCTATCTCTAAACGAACCCGTGAAGTCAGCTTCTAAGCCACGTTTAAATTGACCATCTAAACGATTCGAAAAAGAAAACATTAAAGAATATCTTCTCGCATCTTATTTAAAAAATATAAATATTATGTACACAAAGTGCAAAGATTAATGAATTTGTCTTCTAGCGCGGAAAATGTGAAAAATTACACTCAATCTAGCTCTGAGCGGTGATTGCTGAGAGTAAACGATTTTAATTTAACAAATGACCTGCTGGAAAAGCATTACAACTGAATCAGCGCGAGATACAGGGTTGTTTTCCTGTTCCCGATCGAATTTGTTATTCTTGTTTTTCAGCCGGCTTTTAAGAAAGATGGACCCACTACAATGATGGAGTATCTTTCACTGATGGCAGATCTTTCGTTGATAAGAGTGACACGTCCTGAGAGCGGCTTGACAGGTAAAAAGAAGCACTCAACGGACCCTCCGTTCAAAACCCATTCGAGCCTAGCTTAAGATAAAAGGGCAAAGGGAAGTCAAGTGGTTTTTAACTAGAGGAGATTTCATTGTTAAGAAGATTTTTAAGTTATAACTATATTAATGTTTAGATAAATGATTTTCTATACAGAATTTATCGATAATTTTTTTACGTGATAAGTTCCTCAAGATCAGTAGAGAGTATTTTACTAGAACTTCAATACCAAAATCTACTGGAGCTAATAAAAGCGATCAAAGGTCAGCAATGAAGTAACTTCATTACCTCGGTTCAACCCGAAAGCTTCCGGAGCAGAACCCGGAACTTTTTGTTGTTTGATAGTCCGCTAGGTTCGTTGACTCAGATAGATAAATTTTCTAAAAAGTTTTCTTTTGATTTTGGTACAGAATAATGCTCAGTAAAGAAAGCATGTCCGCAAACTTTTCAAGTAAATGTAAAAGTGAACAGGGTTTCGTGAATATGGCTGTATCATAACCCCTATCTAATTTAACATTACTAGAACATAAAGTTTACATTCATCAATTCAACCAAAAACATAAAAATATCGACACTTGGGTTTATGGCTCTTTCAAATATAACTATGTTATAGTAGGTTCAATACAGCCATCAAAATGTGCACTGTTTATTTTAAATGTTGGCATAAGTATTCTGTAATAATTATTATAAAATGATGCATATAATCCTTTTAGTTTTAAAAATATATACCCTTTTTTTATAACACATGCTTCTAACAGTTAATTCTATTTGTACAATTTGTTGTTACCGTAATATCATTAAATAGTTCCCATCTATTTATATATAATTAGGAGGTTTTAGATACAAATAAAGTGATCAATGTAGTATTAGATAGTGGCACGCCCAGATTTTTACTTAAATTAAGTTCTAGACTTTAATCAAAATATTACTTTTGTAAACAGGCACAAAGTACAATCAATGCTGCCATAATGCCATAATATTTTCAAACGGAACAAAAAAATTATGACATAAAAAGACATTTTTTCTACGAATAGGATGCCATTGTGTAAACATGAACTTTTCCAATTTTTGAGATTCTTTCGGAATTCTCATTGTCATGGTAGGGCACAAGCTGATTGGACGAGGGGAGTGAAGTCCCGTTGACTTGGGAATATTATCGCACGCATTCTCTCCAACTTGAACGGAGAAGCAATCACGACCGGGATTAATACAGGCGGACAGGGGCTTAGAACGTCTCAAATTGATTTGGACCGTGCAAGGTCGAAAAAATATATATTTCACGGTTAAAAAATTACAAAAAAAATCGACAAATGCTTAAAATGACACGGCACCATAGAATAAATTGGCGAATCTATTTTAGTGATTTTTTATGTTAATAGATTTTTCTGAACCAAAGCTATTAAAATAAATACTGCATTAATTGATACATAATCATATTTTACCAACCACCAATTCCAACCGCACAAACCAGTTATATTTATAAGAATTATCGTAAAATCAATCTTGGACATAATCAGTATTATGATTTTGATTCGTTATCATGATTGTAATGATAGGATGTATCGCATGTGAACTGAATTTTCAGGAACATTTGTGACAACTGGAGCAGAAAGGGGCTCGGGATACAGCGAGGGGTTCTATTCGCAAAAACAAATAAAAGAAACCTTTCTTCCACCAAGGGAAAAAGTAATTTTAAAAGTTGTTTTTACATTAAAAAAAACTCTGTTCATGTCGTTGTGTACATACTGGGACCATACTGATGTATTTGCCATTCGGATTCAAATTTTTACAGTGCTGGAAAAATTTCACGATTAAACATGTCTGGTAGTTTTGTAAGGTAATTCCGTTTCTGTTTCTCATCAGAGGAGTTAATTATCCGTCAGGCTGTTCTATTCTTATTGTTATCGTATGTTTTGATAACTGATGTAGGTATGCGATTCTTTGGAAAATTGGGTTCCTCTTTATAAAATAATATAATAGAATGGAAATTCCTTATTATAAACAAATGTAGTACCATAAATGTAAATATATATTTTTAGCTATATAGAATTGGCTAATAGTGTGATAATAGCGGACTATTTTTCTATATAAGAATTTTTTTTAAATTAACACTTTATTTGGACATACTGTAAAACTAAGTAACAATTTGTATAATTTTCTTTTTTTTAATTAAAAACCGGATTGGAAGAAAATAAAATGTCAGTCTTCGACAACTTGAATAAATTACCATTTCGTCCCTCACCAGGCAGAAAGTCCAAGACTGACATCCCAGCCCATGAATAGTGTATTGTTCGTCGTGAAACTTCTTTTCCAAGGGCATTCCTCCCCTTTTTGGCAACAAACCCGGCCGTTTTCTTTTTTAATTAAACGTTTTGAAAACATTTTCTGCTTACCCGGCTTTGCGGACGGCTCCAGTACAGTTGAAAGAAGCAGCTGCAGTACCAGTCTGCTTTGCTCTGTAAGGCGAGGCGTGCACAGATTCGCCGTCGTCGTCGTCCGAGACGGCCGTAGTCAATGACATACGGTCATCATCGGACATCTAAAAAACAAAAAGAAATCATTTAAATATAAATTAAATACAAAATAAAATCAGGTAATGTATAAGTAATGCAAAACTACTATACACAAAAGAAGCAATAGACGTAGTAGACTCCGCATTCGCTGGTTCCATTACCACCGTCGCTCCAGGAATTTTCGCTCTCACCCCCCCCCCCCAAAAAAAAATCATCTATATGTCAACAATCAGCATCATTCCCTAGCTAATATATAAACACATAAGGTCCTTAAAAAATAATGATTATATAGTTATTGCTGTTTATACAAACTCTACTTTTAAGCTAAACCTCAGAAGCCAGACAATGAAAAACAATTAAAAGATAAATACGTTTTTTTTTCACCGTATAGGAACATTTTAAGAGTTTCTATAAATCTGCTGAGTAGTAGCTGCAGCATACAATGCAAAAAGCACCAACTAGCCGCGTATAATGTGGGGAAATCTATCTTTAACTGCAAAAACACCACTATGAAAAAGTCACTATAAGGAAACGCGAATAAAACCCTAGTTTGAACTTTTTATCTACTGCCCTACTAGATAACGCCAAAAATGGGGATTTAGAATGGAAAAACAGTGGAATTTTACTACCAGTTTGATCAAAGTAATTCTCTTAATAAATAAATAATCAAGCGATATTAAATAAAATTATATGACAATCTCTTACTTAATTCGTCCCAAAACAACGATAAAACAAACAACAATCTTTAACCTTATACAAATTGAGGGTGTATGAAGACTGCAGAAGGAGCTAAACTTAATATCCTATGCATACTAAATTCGTTCCAGTTTGGAAGATTACCATCTTGAGAGAATCAGATTAAGGGATAAAACTAAACTCTAGAGTTGACATTACACTTGTACTTTAAAATATAAAGGAATAGACGAAAAATTATACGGGCAGGTTAAACCTGAATATCACGCTTGTTAAACCTGACTAGATAACTCTCCGCTAAATCCAGTTAATCAACAATGACCAGTATTAACAGAATTTTAAAACGTGAGTACGTCTTTCCTTTTTTTTATTTATCGGTATCATATGCATAACTTATTTCTTACAAATTTTGTAAGCCATCTTTGCACTCAAAGGACACGTGTTATGAGAGGACAACCAACATTGGCACTGAAATCTGAAATAGAGAGCGCGAGGAAGTCTCTGAGCCATTGTCGTTCGAGGCGACATGGAGAGTTAAAATTGATAAAATTATGATCCTGGTCAGGGGATAATGCAGTTAAAAATATAGTAAGTAGCTGGGTGAACTTTCAACTGAGGATGTTTGTTAGACAGTGCATGTGGTACCACAAAGTAGTTTTTATTTACAGTCATTTTTGATTTCGACCCTAAAAGCCTTCGTAGTTGTTTAGGTCAATTTTCCTTGCCAGTCGTGGAATGTAATTTTTTATCGTCAACTAATTTGACTGTATTTGGCCACGTTCAGTTTAATTTTCTCAATTTTGTCCGTTCTTCGATTAGTTCGAGCATGGGTAGGACTTGATAGGGTGTATTTTAAATTTGTTCAACGTCAGTCTGCTGTGAAACTAGTTTGAATAATGTATAACTTAAACATGTTTCGTAGTTGTAAGTTATTACAAGTAAGTTCTGTACAGTACTTCTGTAAGTTATTGTCTCTTAGTCTTGTGTGAGGATTCCATGTCAGTCTGCTTTCTAGGTATAATCATAATAATCTGACTCGAGTGGAAGTCGGTACATGCTTGTTCTTGACGTACAGTGGGACAGTATTTTTTTTTCATTTTTATTGTGGTGGATACCAGGAACTGGAGATGTTCCCTCTAAGCACTGCAGCTATGTACAATTTTTCTCATTCGGTCTTGTCTTCCATGTCTTCTCGGTTTTGGATAAGCTCAATGTGTTCTTGAATGCTGAAGTCTGCTTGAATAGGGTTTGGGATAGAAGAGAAAATTGCAATATCATCTAAGTGAGTGGTAATGATGTCAGCAGTATAAATGGGATATAAGATTGGACCAAGAATGCTCCCTTGTGGGACACCGTTTCGCAATGGTCTTGTCGCTTAAATTTTGTTTGGTCATTCCATGTCAGATTGCTATCAAGGTATATACATAAGTATTTACCAAATCCATTTGTCCTCGTAAAGTTTTATTTTCCACATTTTGCGACATTTTTTGATGAGTTCATAATACTTCTGGGTATCGAATGTGGTTTGGGTAGGATTAGAGTTAGTAGATAAAATTGCGGTATCATCCACAAAGTTAGAAAAAGTTAGAAGTCCAGAAAGTTAAAATGTTAAGTTTCTTCCACAACGGTCTGCTGTCAAGGAATAATCCTGAGTGTACTTGAGTGTAAGTTGTAAGTCCTTGATGGTGAGATGAGGGCAGGACCGCTGATTCTGTTAAGGTCAATGTGTTCTTGCATGTTGGAGGTTACTTGGATATGATTCGTCTTAAAAAAACAAAATTTCAGTATCAGTCACGTAGATTGTAAAGATAGTGTTAAAATGTATAGAAAAATCAGTAATATAAATAGCATAAAGGATGGGGCTAAAAATGAGTCCTTGTGGGACGCCGGACTGAATCAGACTGTCTGCGAGCACATATCACCATTACGTTTAAGCAACAATCAGCTAGCTGGATTTTACAATTAGGAATAATGGAGAGGGTCGAATTGCTTTAGTTTGAAGAGAACATTCCGGTAATTTCATTTTCTGATATTATATTGTATTAAATATTTCCTTTTTTGCAAAATGATAATTGATACAGTAGATTCTAATTGATTTAAGTTCACATAAAACTACCGACTATTACAAGTAAATTTTTTTTGTTTGGTTCAATAATTAAATTTTAATACAAGGAAACATTAAACTTAAAAAAGTTGTTTGTGTAATAATAACTATTATGCGTCTATAAAAATAACTTGCACTTTCAAAAAACTTGGATTTGTTTCGATTTGTACTTTTAACCAAAGATTTGGACGCAATGCAGGCAAAAAGCGGACGGTTCAACACCCCTTGTTTCTCCCTAATTAAAGGTACTTTCAACAGAGAAATACAAAAGAGTATTAGGTGTTGTTGTTTTTTAAGTCAGCCCTCAGGCAATCCCTTCAAGTAATGACCGGTCATTAGTAATCCTCAGGAGTCGAGAGTGGAAATTCAAAGATTTTTTGTTCTTTTTTTTATTTGTTGTTCGCAAAATTAGTTTTTCGTTTGTTCTGCACGTGAGATCTCGGTTAACGGACTTTGAAATGTCGTTGGTATATTTAAATTTTCATCATCCTAAGTTGTAGGTACAAAAGTATATAAATCCACTATTCAGGAAAAAGGCCCCCAGATCGATCATAAAAATCAATGTTGTTGACGCTCAGAAAAAATATTACGTTGTGAGAGTATTAGAACGGATGTGTTGTTATTTTTGGAAAAGTTTGAAAGTTTATCAGCCAACAGCTGTTCAATCATCGTGGCAAGTTTCATTGAATTTATTTATAAGTCTGGTCTAAGGGGGAATGCGTTTAGGTGGGTCCTCCATGAACATAAAACGCTCCTTTGTTTCATCTCAAGTGGTAACTATGTCGTGACCTGAGCAAATGTGGACTGAATATTTGCATGTTACATATACAAATACCGACGATGCAAAAATAACTAATGTATTACAATATATGTTAAACTGCAGCTCGGGTGCTGGTCAGTCTTGGGCTGGATTGAGGGGTGCCTCCCCGGACTCTGAGGTCAAGGAATCTCCAGCGAGCTTAGAGGAGGTGTCGATGGTGACTAGACACCGACTCTTCCTCGATAAAGTCCTGCGCGCAATATTAAGACTAAAAGCATCAGTTGCGAGAGATCCGTGGGGTTCCGTTCTTTCCAGGCCTGGGGCTGCCACTGCGCCGGGGTCTGCGGGGGCCTCTCTCTGAGGGGGCCGGGCTGCTCCGTTGACTTGCAAAGACTCAAGGCTTAATGACCAATAAGGTTGCAGCCTTTAATTTATTTAAAAAAAACTTCAACTCTGTGCTAATTTGATATAAGCCTCCAAGGAAGGTTACAGTAAATAAATTAAAAATGTACGGAAGAATTTGACAGTAACAATTCATTAAAATTAATCATTATAATTCGATTAATAATTAGGTATTCGTATTGAGAGAAACAATTCAACAGAATTGTAATTCTGTTGGTTTACGGTGATGAAATTTAAAAAAAAATTCAAAATACAGGTATTGAGAAAGAACTTAATCAGACAGCGACAGACGAAAAATTCAAAAATCCATCTATTCGTTCTGAAAACGTTAAAATTATCCATTAGAACATGATAATTTCTATTTATCGTGTAACAGATTGAGGATGATTTCATTGCGCATTTTCCAATATCCTCTCTATTCTAAAAATATGATATCAAAAAGTGAAAAATTCATCAATTCGTTCTAAATATATTAACGCTTTCCTTCAGAACTTGATAATCTCCATTTATTGTGTAATTGACTGAGAACGAATTTTTTTACACATCTGTGGTGATTAGTGAACGTTAATCGATATTTATTTAGAAATCGTGAGATGCGGTCTGGTGTGATGTAGGTTTCAGAAAAACGTTTTCTTTATCGTGCCAACGTTTCGATCTTTATTGAGATCATCTTCAGGGCTCAAAGTGTTTGTCTCCTGTGAATTGTGCCATTCGTGCGTGTCGTGTCGAGTCACATAACGTCGCAGTCTTCAGAACTTGATAATTTTAATTTTTCGTATAACTCATTGAGGATGAATTTTACAAATGTTTGAAAATCCTTTCCACTTAAATGAGATCAAAAATTGAAAAAATTGATAGATTCATTCTGGAAAAATAGAAGTTTTCCTTCGGAACTCAAATTTTAATTGATTTAAAAATATTTCAGTTGCTGGTATCGTTCTTTTTTTTTAATGAAAGGAATTTAAAAGTTAAAAAGGAAAAAATAAGGTTTTACATAAAAAAAATACTGATCACGGGGTCGGATTAATGCGTAAACTATTAAAATTCTAATTACAGCAGCAGACTTT